CATCATCAACATTATCATCATCATCATCATCATCACAAGGGCACGGGACGCCCAGTGGTAAAGTCGCCGCTTTTTTCGTATCCTTGGTCGTGCAGGATTCGACAAACATGGATTCGAGTCCCCGATTAAGATCCAAGATTTGTTAGAGCCACACCCGTGCTCATGAATTTCACTGATGTGTTAAGCGCGTACACCCTGAGCCACTTTGGACTTTCTTGCCGATGACACGCCCTCACTGAAACACTGTTAAAAGCGGAGTAGCCTAGAGGTTAAAGCGTTCGCTCGTCACGCCGAAGACCCGGGTTTGATTCCCCTCAGTGGGACACTGTTGTGAAGCTCGTTTGTGGTGTCCAACGCAAGGATATTGCTGGAATGGTGTTAACAAAGCGGCGTAAAACAATACTCACTCACTCTCTGTTCAAAGCGCTGCAACCACCGCCGCCATCAACATATATGTTATCATTTAACATCTTTGTTGTTATCGTCATTGACATTATTGTTGTTATCATCACTTTAATCTATGTCAAATATGATAATCATCACTATAATTATCAATAGAAAAGGTATGCATGGATATCCAAATATACAAATATACTCATTAAAAGAATTCAAAGGACACATGATTCTTTCATACTAGTACAGCTTAACTGTCACGGCATGACATTTAACTAGTTACACTGTATATGAAAGAATCGAGTGTTCGTTAATTTTAACAGAGTAACTAATAGTATACTTATAAGTAATATGAAATAATAGCGTGTCCTTTAACTTCTTTTGAGTAGTATATAATTTTTATAATTTCCTCAACATCGTGTGCGGGTAAACCATAATTAGTTTATGTATTGGGATCAATACTAATCGAGACGTTGCCTGATCTATGGCCATGGAAAACCTTATATTATGTATATAGAGAGAATAATAAATCAAATGTAACCTTTCCAGTGTGCCAAGAATTGAATCAGCAACCATCTCAGAGCCACGGGGAGTGCCGTGACGTAATTCCCTATTAGCTTGATGATGCCATTGCATGCTTGGTCCTGAGGAAACTCAGCATGGTCTTGTCAAAGACGCACTGCAAGTGAACGCAAATAGCAGAGAGCGAAAAATAAGTGGAAAAACAAGGTTTTTGTGTATGTTAGAAGATGACTCATGTCCATATGTAATTTCAGCATGTTTATCGCGTTTTAGCGTCAACGTACCATTATGGAATATAACCTAGCTTAAACGTTTAAACAAATAGTCTCTCTTATGACGATGGAAATGATTTCGTAGTTTATTTGGAAACCCTACACGCCTACATTTAATAGAATCCGTGGGGATCTGGTGTAGAATAGGTCTTCAGCAACCCATGCTTGCTGTAAAAGGTGACCATGCTTGTCGTAACTAACGGGATCGGGTGGTCAGGCTCGCTGAATTGGTTGGTGCATGTTATCGTATCCCAATTGCGTGGATCGATCATGATGTCAATCACAGGATTGTCTGGATCAGACTCGGTTATTTAGAGACCGCTGTCATATAGCTGAGAAAATTGCTGAGTGAGGCGATAAACAACAAACAAACAAACAAACAATAAAACTATCACCTCAATACCTAATGCATCATCCCCTTTTCAGCTGTCACAGTCCACACTCTCCCTTTTAAGCTCTAAATAAAGGGACTTGAGGGACTTAATTATTCCTTGATAGAAATACTTTTTCAAACCTTGAGCTTTACGTATTGTACCGTTTTGGGGAATAGAACCCGGTCTTTCGGCGTGACGAGCGAATGCTTCAACCACTAGGCTACCCCATCGCCCCTTGTGAATCTGATTCAAGCTTTAATTGTTTTGAAGGAATACGGTGACACACAAAATTCACAAGATCTTTTATTTATCATGAAATATCACTTGACGTTCCCATATTGCAGTGTATACATGTATGACACCTTATTAAATGACGTCATTGCTGAGTAAATAACTGACCTACAGAAATATCAACAAATCATCCAAATGCTGATTGGTCAATTTTATCAGCTGACGTGACGTCATAAAAAAAACACAATTATCATGATAAATTGCTGACTTTCTTCTGTGGTTTTCGTCCCTAGGGCACACCAAAAACTTATGACCGTGAGATCGAATCCCGGTTCGCCCCGATTATGTGTCTAGGTTTGTCAGCACCATACCCGTGCTCATGGGTTTCACCAAAGTGGTAACGTCTGAGACCTGCGGGATTTCCTCCCACATCAAGCTGACATGCTGTGATATAGCACTCACTCTTTTCCTGAGGTTGACATGTTATATGTTTGTGTTCCTTGTCTTCCCAAAATGATTGAGTGAATGAATATGGTTTTACGCCGTTTGTAGCAATATTCCAGCAAAATCACGGCGGGGGACACCAGAAATGGGCTTCACACATTGTACCCATGTCGGGAATCGAACCCGGGTCTTCGGCGTGACAAGTGAACGCTTTAACCACTAGGGTACCCGACCGCCCCTTTTCCCGAAAATGACAAAGGGTAAGATATGCAATCAGTTTCACAGAAACTGTGAAATATGGAATATCTACTCCTCATTAATTAAATATGTACGTCCCCAGACCTGAAACTCACGCCACCCATTGCCCGGGACAAATAATCCGTACAAATTCCCGGTAGGTGGCGAAGGGTATTCCTTAAATCGACATGCACTTGTTTGTCAGATGTCAGCTATGACCTTTGAACAAATCACTGTGTTCAATCCTTTTTTTTTGTGAAATTATGCCTTGGGGGTCAGATTATCGCCTTCATAAGACGTAGCGATGTTTGTGAACCGCCCTGCTCCTGTGTCAGCTGTCTGTCAATACAGAGTGAGTGAGTGAGTGAGTGAGTGAGTGAGTGAGTGAGTGAATGAGTGAGTGAGTGAGTGATTGAGTGAGTGAGTGAGTGAGTGAGTGAGTGAGTGAGTGAGTTAAGATTTAACGTCACATCGGCAGTATTTCAGCCATATCGTGACGAGAAGTACATTATTATTACATTTATACTACTCAAAACAAGTTAAAGAACGCCCACAATTGAAAGGCTGTGTGTTGCGATACCCACCAGCCAAGACAGATTTACTGTAGTCTTATGGAAAATGTGGGTGTTCTTTAACTTCTTTTGAGTAGTATATTTAGACAATACAAAACGCTGTCAACGATGGACAGTACAATAACTAGAATATAACAGAGTCTCTATCAATACAGAAGGCGCACTCAGCGGCAATGTTTTATCATTTTAAAGTGCGTTCAAAGCTTTGATGTATCTTCAATAATTATAAAAATGTTCAATATTTGTCAAATGGCCAATTCCTTTCCACTAATTATACGCCTGAACTAGAAATAAAAGAAACCAGTTGCACCATCTCATCTGTTCCATTGTCACATCTATGCATAAAGAGTCGGAGTGACAAGATCTCTCCACAAGTCTGTATGACAACAGGGATGACTTCAACTGTCCAACAATTAACTTTCTCTGTATGTCGAGCAATATTCCTGCCGCTCCAGCCCTTGGTGTCGACATTTCATAACCTTTGATGCAATCGATCATGCTCTTGCAATAAAGATTTCAAAGCGCGTCGTGCGACACATACGTTGTTTGTTCAAGGTTACAACATGCAAGGCCTCAGTAGAGCTTTCAAACGTTTTATGTGAAGGACATTTGCAAATTTGATTTTGATTTTGTCATTAGTGACAGAGAGATGTCCGAAGCAATTTCCTGTTTCGACTTGTACCATATTTACCCGTGTTTTTCCAAGTGAACACTTGACTTGCCTTTGCATGTGTTTATAACGGGTGAGAGTGAGTGAGTGAGTATGGTTTGACGCCGCTTTTAGCAATATTCCGGCAATATCACGGCGGGGCACACCAGAAATGGGCTTCACACATTGTACCCATGTCGGGAATCGAACCCGGGTCTTCTGCGTGACGAGCGAACGCTTTAACCACTAGGCTACCCGACCGCCCCTGTTTATAACGGGTGCCACCGGTGGGGCTTGATACGCTCACCTTTTCACGAACACCTGGTATCATTACTATTAAAAAGTGATTCATAAACACAGGGTCATGGAATGGGTTTTGACGCTATTATTTCACACATTTGACACTTATTTTGTAATATGTAATATGTCTTAGAAACCTTAAGGACAATGTTACTGAGGACATGCCGCCAGCCAGGATATGCTATGTGTATGGATATTTTAATTATTATTATTTACAGATTAAAATTAAAAATGCAGCAAAGAGGGTTTGGGTGATCCTGGCACAGTCAGGCTGGTTAGGCTCATCATCAGCTCAGGGCCCTTGCCCCCTCTACACGCAGCCCAGACAGCGAATGGGACTTCTCCCAGGAAGCGCTGCCTAGTCAAACCCACACAGAAATTTTCGGAGAATGTGAAGACTCCCCAACACTACAGCCTTTTGCATTACACTGATTGTCAGAAGGGCTGTATTCCTGGTAGCAAACCCGGGTACTCTCCCTGTGTCAGTCAACAGATTGGGAGGTACCAAACCTGAGGCACCGAGAACAATGGGGCGTCGATCAACTTGGTACTTGGATGCAAGCGCGACATTTCGAAAGCGAGCTCCGCACATTTGCCATGTTTTTCAAAAAGGACAAGATCAGGTGTGTTGGCCTGGATACGTCTAAGACTGTGTATGGGCCTATTCCAAAGTATTTATCATTTTCCATGACGCCCGCTACATATTCCGGGTCGTACCATCCCTGGACCTCTGTGTCAAAACCACAAGCATGGCGAAGACGGTAATAAAATGATCGAGCTACACTATAATGTCGTTTAAGATACTGTGTTTGTGCCAAAGCTGGGCATCCACTGACAATGTGTTGGACAGTCTCATTCAATTCATTACATAAGCTACATTTCATATTTACATTTTGATGCAAAATCACACGTTGACGGTTTCGAGTGGGAAGTAATTATTATCATCATCCTCATCATCATCATCAAAACGTTACTGGATGCTAAGTTGTATTTTTCTGATTTTCAGAAGGTGATTTTCGCGATGTACAGCCCGACAGACAACGTCAAGTACACGTCGACAGTTCGAAGCTGTGCCGGTGAATGTTATTCTCACGACGACTTCGAGAACTGCACAGACGATCAGTACAACACCCGAGGTTGCGTCACCAAGACGTGTTGTGATAACCAGGACTTCTGTAATACGGCGAATACGTACCGTACGTACAGTACGTGGGTAACAGCTTGCGTACTCACCTCCGTGGCCTTCTCTATTCATGCAGTGATGCCATTGCGATGACTGACGTGAACATATGGAAACTTGTGTCAGTTTAGGTGTGAAGTCATCAAGGAATGACGTCACCAAGCGTCGTGGCTAAAGTGTACTGTGTTACAAAAAAATGAAAAGGGAGGAAACTTTGAGGTCATCTTTAAGTGTGTTGATTTCAAGTGTCTTAAATACATCTAAAAAGAGCACTTAACGAAATTGTGTTTGGAAGATGGTCAGGTGTTTTATACTCGGGACTCGTTGGAGGAATATTCCGAAAAATGACTTTAATTTTAATTGCATGGTTGATCGCTCCCATACCTCGTTATTTTAGACGTTAAGTAAGTCTCAAATTGTTTGATGAAAGCTTCAAGGATAATAAATTATAATAAAGAAGACTAAAATTGGAATTTTTAGGAGGATACTTTGCTGCAATAGAAAATCAGCGTTGCAATAAAGTACCGTATTTCCTCTAATAAGCAACAGGCGTTATATTTCGTTAACAAGAACCGTCAGTTAGTACAGGTCCGGCGCTTATTAGTTTAGGATTACGGTGTTATATGAACTATCGGTGATGACTGGGAAGTGCTAAGTAGAGACCATTAAATGTTATTTGTATCGGTACCATGACCAGTCACTGCAATCAATTGATACGCTCCCGACGCTGTAAGAGGTTGGATTTGTTGGTTTGTTTGTTTGTTGTTTAATGCCGCACTCAGTAATATTCTAGCCATATGACGGCGGCCTGTACATAATAGAGCCTGGACCAGACAATACCGTGATTAATATTGTGTGCAACGATCTACGATGACATGCAATCAACCAAGTCACCGGACCTGACCAGCTGATCCATGTCATCGACTCTTACGACCAGCATAGGTTGCTAGGGGTACCATTGCTAATCCAGAATCCCCATGAGGCTTAATAGACCGGGTTTTGGTTTGCATCAGAATCGGCTCTTGTTAGGGGCTGGCGCTTGAAAAAAAATCCCGGCTTTTATTTGAGACACCCGTACACATTGTCAGCATGTCAAAACAAGACGCCAGTCAAGAGACCATTATGGACAATTCTGCCTCATCTTCAAACACATGGTTATCCCTTTGATCCGGACCCTCGTTAATCCAGGCCCTCAGTAATCCGGACCCTCATTAATCTGTACCCATGATACTTAAACCGCACACGAACGGCTATTTTCTTCTTTACGTCCCAACCGGACGATTTACTTGGAGGGGATATTTCCAGGTTAACGTTGTTGCACTGTTTACGTTTTCAACATCCACACTTGATGTTCTCAGTGTTTTTTTTCTACATTGAAGTTGTCTTGCAGTTTTATTTCAATCCTTGTACACATGTTCAGTTCGATAATAAATGTGAATGATGGATTATAAAACATGTATCTTATTTCTAGACTGTACATTTATGTATAATATGTCGTACTGTGAATTGTGACAGTTGTCTTATTTGTGGCTGAAATCAACAATGAAGTCTCATGGGACATCATATTAGTAATGACGTCATATATGATGCTATCTATGTTCCCGGCAATCACCGGGTGGACTCCATATTAGCGTCGTGGCAAAACGCAACATGACGTAAGAGTGAGTGAGTGAGTTTGGTTTTACGCCACTTTTAGCAATATACTAGCAATATCACGGCGGGGGACACCAGAAATGGGCTTCACACATTGTACCCATGTCGGGAATCGAACCCGGGTCTTCGGCGTGACGAGCGAACGCTTTAACCACTAGGCTACCACCCGACCGCCCACATGACGTAAGACGTTACCCTGACATCAATACTGAAATGATTCCTTTTGACTTTGTTTTATGTCAAATTGTAGATATCTTCCTTCTATAAAGAGATTCGTCCTTAAGGCTTGCCAGCAACCCGAGTTCGAATATTATATTGACAGCAAGATGGCTATAATTGTTTTGATCTTATTTTCGAGAATATAATTGATCTAAATATTTCATTTCTTTCAAATGAGAATTTTGTAGAGATGTACAATTTTGTGTCTTCTTTGAATACAACGAAAAATATAATGAAATTCGTCGACTATAGCTTCTGTACAGGGTCACGCTGAAGACCCGGGTTCGATTCCCGACATGGTTACAATGTGTGAAGCCCATTTCTGCTGTCCCCCGCCGTGATATTGCTGGAATATTGCTTAAAGCGGCGTAAAACCATATTCACACACTCACTCACATATTGTACAAGATTCCGATTAGTAATTATGTACCTGCGCCACTTTGGGCTTACCTCCAAATCAACCTGACATTTCGTGGTAAAACTAAAATACGGTTCAACTCGGCGTTAAGCAGTAAACACGCTGTTTACAAAACCGTCCTATTTGCTAACATTTCACTTTGCGGAGAGATCTGGTGGTGAAGGGGCTCCAGTGAGATTATGTATCACTACTCCAGTGTTGCTCCGGTCATAATGTCGTTGGCGCAATAAGCCAGTGGATCTGAGTGCATTTGGTATTTGAGGGATTTAGGGCTCAGGACATTGTGGTTTACTACTTAACTAACTGAACCTTTCGGCACTCAAGATCTTAACTATACCAAGGGTCAATATGTGTTCAAGGATTACGATGATAATATTTATAGAAAATCTATCCTTCTCGTTACTCAAAATATTTCGTATATCTGGTACCTGTACAGTACGTTTTTGATCCAAATAAATGTTATTTATGAATTACTTTATACAGATTAAATTAAAAAATGATGCAAAGAGGGTTTGGGTGATCCTGGCACAGTCAGGCTGGTTAGGCTATCCGCCCTGACTGCGAATTGGACTTCTCCCAGGAAGCGCTGCCTAGTGGAACCCACCCAGAACTTTTCGGAGAATGTGAAGACTCCCCAACACAGCAGCCTTCTCCATAACCTAGATTGCCAGTGTTCCTGGTAGCAGTATTCCTGGTAGCAAACCCGGTACTCTCCCAATGTCAGTCAACAGATTGGGAGGTACCAAACCCAAGGCACCGGAAACAGTGGGGAGTCAGACAACTTGGTACTTTGGATGCAAGCGTGACATTTCGAAAGGGAGGTCCGTATAATTGCCATGTTTTTCCTGAATCTTGTCAATTATATTAGTGTCAAAAGGGACAGACAATTCAATTACATAAATGATTTCAATGGATTTCATCAAAAATGATCAGGTTTGTTGGCCTGGATAGGCCTGACGCTGCACACGGGACTATTCAAAATACCTTTGCATTTATCATTTTCCATGATGCGCTCTTCGCTCTCTGGGTCCTACTGTGGATGGATAAGGGAACGGGCCCTATGTATTAATCACATCAGTAACTATAACCAGGATTATATCATACTGTACAAGAATGGTGATCAACTATGTTTGGCTTTTTTATATAACATTCATTTTACCGTGTTTACTATTCCCATGAACTACAATTGGAATAGGGGCACGGGTGGCCAAGTCGTCTAAGGCGCCGCGATTCGCTGTTCAAAGTTGCGTCCCTTGGGCACGCCAGAAACCTATGATTGTGGATTCGAATCCTGGTTCGCCCCGATTATGTTATTGGTACACTCGGTATATACACACGGAACACGTGAGGATAGAATTAAACCGGTCTTTACATGCAAAGTGTGCGCTGTTTTGTGTGTTTATTCCGAACGTCTTTTGTCACTTGTGCCATTGCATGCTCACTATTCAACACACACGTATCAACATATCCTAGAAAACACTAGTTTTTATGAAACTCCGATGTAATGCCTGGAGATTAAGACATATTCTTGAACTGAAATTAGGTCACACATTGCAAAGATGAGTGCAATTGATGTGTTTGTTACTGAAAGTATATACGTCAATTATACTTCAAGAATATACGGGTGGCCCAGTCGTCTAAGGCGCCGCAATTCCCTGTTCCGAGTTGCGTTTCATGGGTACGCCAGAAATCTATTATTGTGGGTTCGAATCCCGGTTCGCCCCAGTTTTGTTTCTAGGTTTGTCAGCATCCTCCCCGTTCTCGTTGGTTTGACCAAAGGCGGTAAACGTCAAAGACCTGTGTCATTTTGCCTGTCCTACCTGACACGCCATGATATTACTGGAATACTGTTAAAAGCGGCGTTAAACCAACTCACTCACTCATTCACTCAACTATGCACAAAAGCTTTACAAGTATGCTTAAAGTTCGAAGACGTATTACAAACACGCCTGGTAATACGCAGAATACATACGTTCATAAACCACAGCAATGAGATTTGTTTATTATGACAGATAAATAACATTACTTTGCGCTAGCCAATGGGTTTTAGTGTCAACGCCTATTCACATGATAGCTTCATTCATGTTCTGTTTTAGCATAGCTCTCTAATAATCCTCATGGAAAAACTGAGGCGGTCGGGTAGCCTATGGTTAAAGCGTTGCCTCGTCACGCCGAAGACCCGGGTTCGATTCCCGACATGGGTACAATGTGTGAAGCCCATTTCTGGTGTCCCCCGCCGTGATATTGCTGAAATATTGCTTAAAGCGGCGTAAAACCATACTTACTCATGGAAAAATTCGTAGTTCATGTAAGACTACCACTTGCAGTTACGTACGTGTACTGCTTTTGAAAATATTTATTGCAAATGTGCTTATGGTAGAACCTGGATGTTTTTATTACATAACAAGGGTTAATATTATAGAGTGGTATTAAGTAATCAGATATATTGACAAGATTCAAGTTACAAGTGTGCTGTACATGAATGTAATAAAGATGTACTTTTTTGCAATTACGTGTTTGTTATAACATACCGTAGAATAAGATGCTTTGCAAATGACACACTCTCCGTGTGCTCAGATTGGACGCTGGTTCCACATCGACTGCCGAGCCAATGAAAGCATACACTTAAAAAAAATTGGATTTTTCTAAAACACTCACAAACGTTATAATATCACAACGTCACTAAGCTAAATAATAAAAACGACAAAACCCTTTCCACAGCCTCCAGAAATCTCTGGTAAAAGCAGAAGCGATCGTAGATTCCGACTGTATCATGGCTGTATTATGAATCACTATACACAAGTGATGATACCAGGTGTTCGCGAAGTGGTCAGCGCATCCTGTCGCACAGGTGGTACTCGCACAAACACATGCAAAGGAGCGCACAGTCGCTGAAATGCTGTTAACTTAAGGTTCAAACACAACCCGTATCAAATACATGACCATCCATTTCGTGTTTGTTTCATTTTAAGCCACCATCAAACATGCGAGTATACTGCCTTTCACCAGCAGTTTGCATCACCTTAACCAGCGCCAAAACAGAAACAAAGAGGCGTAAAGTCTTAAAAAAGTGAAATGTCAAATAATAGAAAAACAACTGTCACAGCTCGTCGTTGCACTTGAAGGTGTTATTTGGCTACAGGTCAAGGCTACATAAAGGAAATATTTCTCGGGTATCGGTGCGTTAAATTAAACCTGTGCCTTGGCCCTTTATTTCTAATATCTATTTATATATATGTGGGTGTGGGTGTGTGTGGATGTGTGTGTGTGTGTGTGTGTGTGTGTGTGTGTGTGTGTGTGTGTGTGTGTGTGTGTGTGTGTGTGTGTGTGTGTGTGGATGTGTGTGGATGTGTGTGTGTGTGGATGTGTGTGTGGATGTGTGGGTGTGTGTGTGGGGGTGTGTGTGGATGTGTGTGTGTGTGTGTGTGGATGTGTGTGTGGATGTGTGTGTGTGTGGATGTGTGTGTGGGTGATTACGAGAAAGTGTTATCCCAAATATAACATATGTTACATGTGGTTATATAGTTACATTAGACAAGACAGAGGCTTACATCGTATATTCAGTGCTCCTGTCATCCGTTCACAAACACTTTATCTTGAGGATGGTTATATTGTTACAGGAGGCACGGCATAGACCTCAGCATTGTATGTTTATCGTATATCTATCGTACATTGCAATTACTCACAGTCGGGTATGGAGCAGTATATAGTGAACAATTCCAAAGTAAGTACACGATGACAATTTAACGTCATCCCCAGACTCCACAACATCAGCAGCTAATGTGGCATCTAAACAAGAGCACCTGGCACCGCTAATAAGATGACGTTTTTCAGATTCAGGATAAATGTGCACGAGACAAGGGAGACAATCAATAGAGTGGTAAGTGCCGATCGTAATCTATACTATGGAGGTAACGATTTTGTGTCACGTGACGCTGACAAGGATAGGCTTGCATTTACACCTCCACGTTTATGTAAATTGCAAAGAGGGACACATGCACAAAATATTTTTCTCATCTGTGTCTCCCTGTAACGGTGCAGTGGTTGCGACATTATACTTGAGCTGGTCAGTGCTGTGAGTGAGTGAGTGCGTGAGTGAGTGGATGAGTGAGTGAGTGAGTGAGTGAATGAGTGGGTGAGTTTACAAAGCGCTCTTAGCGCAAACAATGTAGCAATTCATATAATTTTACATCAGACTTACGACTAAGCATAACAATCAAACGATATTAAAGATATCAAAGATAATAACAAAAGTAAAATGCACCAGCGCAGAACATAACTCCAGTCGGAACGGTGTACAATCAAATTATATTCTCAGCTCCCTGGGGAATATATCATCATTCCGTTCATACATCCACTTATCAAATTTCGAGTACTTGTCGCATACTCCATGTAATGACGCGTCAATAACGTCAAGTTACTCAGCGTTTTCACTTCAAACACTCGAGAGAGAGCCGCGTTCTCCTCCAGCGCGCTGAAGGCTACACCAGAAGCAACGATACTATCTACAAGACATTCTCCCTGATTATCGCACTTCGCGACAAATAGCCTCCAGTCTTGTCTTTGATCCTACCCCGACATGTTCACCTGCCGCTTGGGATAAAATATAAGGTTACCATGGTTACACACAGATTATTGTCATTGATTTCGATTTGGGATGGGAACGTAAGGCAGATTGTCACTTAAGGTGACAATATTCACATAAAAAATTTAAAAGTGTGTTTTCCCCTGTCAAGGTTTGTTTTGAATACTCTAACCGGGGCGACACTTTGAAACCCCACGTCGACTGTTGTCCGTGGTGGTAACTGACATTGTGATATAGGGTTGGCATTAAACATGCAACAGGATGGCTTGACGACTTAACATGTCATTGACACAACTAAATGTTACCGTGGACATTATACATTTATGCCATCAATCGTTTTTCAGTCGGGAGAAAAGAACCGTGGATGATCTGCAGAAAAGTCGGCGTATACAGTAAAACCTTTGTAGTCTGGACAACGTTAATCCGGACACCTGTCTTCCGGGCGATTATTATCATATAGTGCGATGCTGATCCTCGATGGTTTAGTAATTGTATGATAAATACAATTAACTACGGGTAAACGAACACGCTTATAACGAACTGACGGATATAACGAACTAACCTTTTAGTCCCGAGTATTGGCTGTAGCTATGTTGTATATATGCTTATAACGAATTACGGTTATGACGAACTAAAATGAGTAGTCCCTTTGAGTTCGGTATAACCGTAGTTTACTGTACATGGTTATAAATACATATCCCTCTTGTTCTTTCCCTCTCTCTACATTTAACAATATGAGTTTACTTCTTAATAAATAAAAGTCACAAAATCCCTTCCACAGCCACAAGGAAGCCAATTTATGATTCCAACTATATCATGAGAATGTGTTTATGAATCAGTATCAAAAAGTGATGGTACCAGGTGTTCGCGAAACGAGAGGTACCGATCACAAACACATGCAAAGGCAAGTCAAATTTTCACCCGAAAAAGCACTGGGCGTATGGTATAATTCAAAATTGGGAATTGCATCGGAGATCCCTTTTGCCACTGATGCGCCACATATCTCTACCATTAAACCTTTTGAAAGCTTTACCGGGGCCTTGATTGTTGTAACCTAAATTTAGATCAAACATCTTGTCAGCAAGAGTCGTATAAAAGCTCTTTGAATTCTCCGTAGAGAGAGCACGCTCGACTGAACCTCAAGAGTTGTGAAATGTGGACGCCTAAGGCTGGCGCTGCAGGTGTATTGCTGGACATTAAGGGAAAGATCTATATTCGCAATGTTATGTATAAATAATTTAAGCGGCGGTTGAAACTGTTATAAATAATTTTAGTAATTGTCAGCGTCAGCAAAGGCATTGAACTGCTGGTAAAAAAGAGTAAGTGCTGTCGTGACCAGGTTTGAACCGCAGCTGACGGAAACGACGGAGCTGTAGGAAGGTAGGGTTATCCGCCTTTGTCGTAACAACATGAACAGGCTTGATCATTTGAGAAGTTTCTGGAAGAAAGGTTCTAATTCATAGGATGGTTGAACAAGGACGTGTTCAAACTGGTTTGAAAGTTGTATTTACCTATACAGACGCGTCTCACTCCAGGGCGATTTAAGACCTGGTGTGTTTTTAATCTTCTTGCAAGGTTGTTACCTATTTGGAAACACCGGATTCCTGCCAGCTTCCACAACTATTCTGGATTCAAGAACGGAGACAGACCTCTTTCGTTTACATTCAACAGTGACATTTGTTCTGAAGATCCGTCAGTGCACTTACAATATTATTAGGCCTGATACGTATTACTGATGCACGAGTTTGGTCCATTGTATTGCCTTTCGATTGTAAACCTAAAATGTATGTTTAAGTATCTTTTGCTGATTATTCCCAGATCTTGTGTGGTCAGTTACTCGGTGTTAACCTCGGGGTTTCAATATGGAAATCACCTCGTGACAGCAGATATCAACAGAATCTTTGTGCGTTGTTGTTCCATCTGCATCACGTGGCTGGGTACACTCGTCATCACTCGCCCCTTTCCGTAACCTGCAAGAAGACTCGTCCCCCTATCTATGGATGCATTCGTCACCACTCGCCCCTTTCCGTAACCTGCAAGAAGACTCGTCCCCCTATCTATGGATGCATTCGTCACCACTCGCCCCTTTCCGCAACCTGCAAGAAGACTCGTCCCCCTATCTATGGATGCATTCGTCACCACTCGCCCCTTTCCGTAACCTGCAAGAAGACTCGTCCCCCTATCTATGGATGCATTCGTCACCACTCGCCCCTTTCCGTAACCTGCAAGAAGACTCGTCCCCCTATCTATGGATGCATTCGTCACCACTCGCCCCTTTCCGTAACCTGCAAGAAGACTCGTCCCCCTATCTATGGATGCATTCGTCACCACTCGCCCCTTTCCGTAACCTGCAAGAAGACTCGTCCCCCTATCTATGGATGCATACGTCACCACTCGCCCCTTTCCGTAACCTGCAAGAAGACTCGTCCCCCTATCTATGGATCTTATGTAGGAAATACGACAAACCAATCAGAATGCGCTTTCAAGTTCGTCGTCAAAGAATCCCTCAGATTTTTTTTGATTTTACATATGTCTTGCATCTTAAAATATACCCAAGACACAGTTAAATGTGTTCAATCATACTGCATAATTCCGCACATCCCGGTGTGCTTTTAATTGCATCTGAAATATATATATAAAAATACACGTGAACCATTTCGCAACGAGTTGACAATTGTTTTAGGTATGCCCGTTTGCGCTAAGACGGAACCCGGTCGCAAAAATCGACATGAGAGGGTCGCGAGTCGCTATTCGGCTTGTCCCGGAACAACACGAGTTGGTCACGAATGCGCTTGGTACTGTCCATGGACTGACCACTCTGGAGCTAAGTACCATTTATTGAATGGAAATTTAATGTTTAAGATAGCAGCGACGTTGGTGATGAAATTCATGCACTTTTCTGAAGTAGGTATTGTAATATCTATAAATTTCTTTTGTCACCTAGATGTTATCACAACAAGCCAAATGTGCTAAAATTCCACAGTTTGTTTAATAGTACAAAAAAATGTGTTAAACAAATTATCTAGGTTTTGTTCAATCATAATGCAAACACATCCTGCAAAAAAAATCCTCTGAGCAAATAATGTGAGTGAGTTGGGGTTGACGCCGCTTTTAACAGTATTCCAGTTTTATCACGGCGTGTCAGCTTGATGTGTGAGGAAAGCCCGAAGTGATGCAGGTTTTAGACGTTTACCACTTTGGTGAAACCCCTAACGATGCTGATACGAATCCACGATCATAGGTTTCTGGCGTATCCAAGGGACGCAACTCTACACTCTACACTTGCGGCGCCTTAGACGACGTTTAACCACATGAGTCGCTCAGTTCAATTTTATTACATTTATTATTTTAATTTTCCAAACACTTCTACTTCTACCTAACGTCAATTTAAACAAAATGAAATCAACGGGACTTTAACGATTGCTGGATGTCGGGACTGCTTACATTAAAAATGGAAAATAACACTCAAGATGCAAGACCGGAATCGGGATTAACATTTAACATTCACGATGAGGCAAATTTTTCGGGCACTGGGGAACAAGAACGCTCTTTGCTTTTTTTTCATTTGTTGTAAGTCAATGATAAGAAAATAACCCTTCGCCACACAAATCACTTTTAAAGGACTATCATTTCACACACCATGCATGCATATCCAGTCTAACGTTTGTAACGAGTTAATCTCTCCATCAATGCAAGTCTGTAACATGGTGAGGTCTCCATGGCGTGATAGTTGCAGTTTCAGTTTCAGACGCAACCACAGTTTCATGACGTTCAATATTCAAGTCTAATATTTAAAGGTGCTTCACAACACTGTGTCTCGATCAAGGCTGCACATCTTGTAATGTTTTCAAACGTACACAGTTAGCATGTGTTTCATTAGGTTATCCGCTGGTGCTGACGTGTCCCCAAGTCTTCCCATGTGGTGTGTGAACATTGCTAAGTCACAGTGTATTCTAGATGTTTGATCCTCAAGTTGTCTGGTATTATGTTTAGTCAATGTTGAGTCATAGTGCATTCTTCATGTTTGATCAACTTGATAGTTTACCAAGTGTTGATTTTGAGCACAGTTAATTCGGAATGTTTGACCAGATCTATGCCAGTAACATACGATAGTCGGCCCGAATCCCGATTTGTCCTGATAATATTCCTAGGTTAGCATCACCATCACCGTGCTCATTGGTTTCACAAGAGTGATAACCGTCTAAGACCTGCATTACCTCTGGCATTTCTCCCACATCAAACTGACACGATATAACTGAAATTCAAACAGGCGTTAAACCCAATTCACTCATTCAAATCAAACTTTCGGCTTAGCGATCGAGTCAATTATAATCGGCAAGTCCTCGTGATGCTTTAATCCTCCGTTTCCTCCGGTTCCTCTTCCTCTTGTATAGGAAGTTTAATGGAAACAGAACGCCTCTTCCCTTTGTTAAATACAGGGGCTTCATCTTCCGAACTAGTTTGGCTCTTTATCGGGTGAAACCTTTTAACCATTGATGCATTGGCACTGAATCTGACAGTACTGTGTCTGCGCATGACGATGTTTTCCGGCACAGACCTGACAACTTCCGGTCGATGGTCCAGACTCCATACCCTCTCCACGGCTGGGGATGTTTCCTTCTTCTCAACGAGTTTCCGCCTCTGAAGACTCTTCATCTCAACGACTCTGTTGTCAACAAGGAACGTCCAGACCTGGCTCTTTTTGTCCTTGACCTTTGGCGCCATTTTGTAAAAGCGCCTTCTGTCTCTGAGGATCACGTGGCTGCTCTTAACATCTCTTACCACGCTTCTCTTGAAAGCGTCCCAATCCGTCTGCTCTTTATAGGACCTTATAAGCACGTCGTCAGTGGGATATCTGTTAAGAAGGAAAATTTAATCATGAATATACCTGGATAATAATAATAATATTAATATTAATATTAATAATAATAATAATAATAATAATAATAATAATTTTCTGTCCCTTTTGACACTAATGTGATTGACAACATTGAGGAAAAACATGGCAAATATGCGGACTTGCATCCCAAGTACCAAGTTGTCCGACTCCCCATTGTTCTCGGTGCTTTAGGTTCCGTACCTCCCTATCTGTTGACTGACATCGGGAGAGTACCCGGGTTTCCTACCAGCAATACAGCCCTTCTGCCAATCTGGGTAATACAGAAGGCTGCGGTGTTGGGGAGTCTTCACATTCTCCGATAAGTTGTGGGTGGGTTCGATTAGGCAGCAAGTCCCATTCGCTGTCTGGACTGCGTGTAGAGGGGGCAAGGGAACTGAGCTGATGATGAGTATAACCAGCCTGACTGTGCCAGGATCACCCAAACCCTCTTTGCTGATTTTTTAAAATTTTAATGTGTATGTAATATATAATTATAATATATTATATATAGTAGAAGAAGAAGAAGAAGAAGAAGAAGAAGAAGAAGTAGAAAAAATGTATTTTGTTTAACTCTGCATTATTCAAGACTCTTGCTAGAACTTCTTCTCATTCACACTGATATTTTGTGCCAACATTCGCGTACCTTCTCTCACAGAATGATGCCTGGTTGCATTTGCTCTATGCAGAAAAAAACGAGCATTGCAGGAAGAATTAAATTATTGATGCTGTTATATCCCGCATCGTTCACTGTTCCCAAATTGAATCGAGGCGTTCGCCACATGAGGATATCAGTGGAAGGAATGCAGATTAAAATGAAACCCAATTTATGGAGCATTGTTCAAAAGAAACACGATAGTCTTGCCAGAGTTCAATAAACCTAAATACAACAAACGCTGGACGACTAATGCACCGTGACACTCTTTCAACTTGCGTAACAAACGGTTCTTCTCAGGAATTCGATACCAATAACTATGGAAACACCGTAAATGTCATCGATTCGTTACACAAGGAAGTCGTTAGATTTCCTTAAGAGCCCGACCGTATCCGACCGCAGCCTTTTTAAAACGTCTTTGTTTAATGAAGTCGTTAAACAGCCTCTTTTGACGTTTTCCCTCGAATAGGTACCACTGCCTTCCTATTGATTCCATCCGTGCTTCTTTTCGGATTGGTACTGGCGTGTGGTAATTGTAAATGAACTAAAAGTGACATCTGCTGGAAAGACGATAATGAATTAACAAGCCTCTCCTTACATTTCGATTTTCTTCAGCGGTCGATTAAAAGGTGGTCGTGATTCTAATTTTGCTTGCGATGGGAGAATCCTTACAACGACCTTACAGGGTTCAACAGTGAGAGTTCCACTTGTAATGTCAAAATTAAACGTTACAGATGTTTCTCCGTCAGTCGCCACAAATTGCCCTAAACACGTCCCATTTTAATTCTGGAAACCCAAAAGTCCAGAAACTCTACGCTCTTTGCCCAGTCTCGGTTACAGGTATTTACAAAATTAAACATGCCGTTTTCATGGGAACATACCAAGGAAGAAAAAATGAAAAAAAAATTGTTTAAAAACTCAATATTTAGACTATGTCGCCTATGGGCCTGCCCATGGGCGAAGTCTGGCCCATGGGCCTGCCCATGGGCGAAGTCTGGCCCATGGGTAGGCCCATGGGCGAGAATATGTTCCTTTACTTAAAACTCATGTTTTTGTTTCGCAAATACATTTAATGTATTCATTCAAGTATCATGACACAAAATTTAATTCATTTTAACTTAATTCAACGATTTTATAACGATATTGAAATATTTCGCCCATGGGCGAGAAAAAGGTTTGGCCCATGGGCGAGAATATGTTCCTGTACTTAAAACTCATGATTTTGTTTCGCAAATACATTAAATGTATTTATTGAAGTATCATGACACAAAATTTAACTCATTTTAACTTAATTCAACGATTTTATAGCGATATTGAAATATTTCGCCCATGGGCGAGAAAAAGGTTTGGCCCATGGGTAGGCCCATGGGCAGGCCAATGGGTAGGCCCATGGGCAGGCCCATGGGCGAGAATATGTTCCTTTACTTAAAACTCATGTTTTTGTTTCGCAAATACATTTAATGTATTCATTTAAGTATCATGACACAAAATTTAACTCTTTTTAACTTAATTCAACGATTTTATAGCGATATTGAAATATTTCGCCCATGGGCGAGAAAAAGGTCTGGCCCATGGGCGAGAATATGTTCCTTTACTTAAAACTCATGTTTTTGTTTCGCAAATACATTTAATGTATTCATTCAAGTATCATGACACAAAATTTAATTCATTTTAACTTAATTCAACGATTTTATAACGATATTGAAATATTTCGCCCATGGGCGAGAAAAAGGTTTGGCCCATGGGCGAGAATATGTTCCTGTACTTAAAACTCATGATTTTGTTTCGCAAATACATTAAATGTATTTATTGAAGTATCATGACACAAAATTTAACTCATTTTAACTTAATTCAACGATTTTATAGCGATATTGAAATATTTCGCCCATGGGCGAGAAAAAGGTTTGGCCCATGGGTAGGCCCATGGGCAGGCCCATGGGCGAGAATATGTTCCTTTACTTTAAACTCATTTTTTTGTTTCGCGAATACATTAAATGTATTTATTTAAGTATCATGACACAAAATTTCACTCATTTTAACTTAATTCAACGATTTTATAGCGATATTGAAATATTTCGCCCACGGGCGAGAAAAGGGTTTGGCCCATGGGCGAGAATATTTTCCTTTACTTAAAACTTATGTTTTTGTTTCGCAAATACATGCAGGTGTTCTTACTATTTTCATGGCACATAATGTAACTCAATTTTACTCAATTCAGCTATTTTACAGATTTATTGAAATATTTCGCCCATGGGCGAGAAAAGGTTTTGCCTGCGAAATCCTTGATTATTATATCATGCCAGAGTTCTGAAATTCAGTGACAATGCTGTTGGACAGTAGAATCTGATTGACGCATTGTGCAGAACCTGTTTGACACTATGGGTTCCAGGACCACTAACACTCTGAGCTGAAAAAGTTTGGTCCTAACCGCACCCAACATCTTTAATGAACCCGGCCTTATCTCTCAAAACGTTTTGGCAGTTTATCATACGAATTCATGTGCGTGTACAACATTAAATTTTAGTTAGTTTCTATTTCATTTCCCATTTTATGACCCGTTGATACATCCCACTGTGCAATTACGTGACAGGTACGCGTGCGCGTATTTTAATGGAAAGAAACTATTCGTCTTTTATTGCATAACGTTTGGCTGAATATCTTACATTCTAACGAAATCTCGAAATAATTATTTAATTACAAGCAGTGTCGAACTGACCAGTAGGAATTATGTTTCAATGCGATTGAGGAAAACGTGAGTGAATATTGTGACACTAAAGCAACTTTTAACTGCATTGTCACTTTTGGTATGAAAATGGTAATAGTTAAGAAAAACTTAACAGCCTTCTTATGATAATTCTCATATTCTCATTAGTACGTTGTGTCTAATTACAGTGTCGGCCTTATTTACCGGTGATTCTACAATACTTGCTGTTGGTCAATTACAATCTGCCACACCACGCGTGAATAAACAGTTATGCAGGTGTTGCTGTGGGCAAATACCTAGCCTGTACATGTATATTTTTGTGGATACATGTATTACATATTTTCGTTGATATGTGGATATATTAAGCACCAAGACACAAAAAGTTTATGAAAGATGAATTTGTGCCTTGATATATATATTCAACGCGAACGAAGCTTGTATTTTCTCCGCGATCCTGATGTGTATCATCGTTTAATTGGTCATTCATTAAAAGTATGCTGTGAGGCGATATCAAAGGAGCCGCTCAATATACACGGTGTCGTCCGTTTCGCGTGAACTACCACCCTACCCTGTCAGTAAGAGTTATGTAATCGGTACACAAATATATTTGGTGCGATGTCAGTGTGGAAGGAGTTTGAATTACGTCCGCCAGTGGCCACAGAAAGTATAGTACCAATCAACAAAGCCAATGCCGTACTAATAACCTAGCTAGTGACTCGCGTAACAACGGCTGTCAATATGTCTGCTACATCTACCATACCATCATCCCTGTCACAACTGGCGTATTAACGGCTTATTCAAAATATTAATTGTAGAAATGTCGTTACCAGTCTAACGTACGTCGTATTCAGTCCTCAACTGGATGTTACATTCCTTATATCAGTTAACAGCCCTGTTTGTGAAAATATTTACTAGACATAAGATTTAAAGACTAATAAAATCAATTGTAAGACCGCATAGACCATAAAACCGAATAAAATATGTCTTGGTATCATCTCTTGTGTATTAGATGATGGCAATGACCGGAAATGTTATAACGTTAGATTAAGAAGGAGAAACATTAAAGTGTTTTACAATACTTGGAAACATGAGCAATAAGATGTAGCAACATAAACATGCATGGAATAGGGAAAAAGGATGAAAACAAATTGAAAAGGATTTTAATACAAAATTATCGAACTAAATAACTTGCCTGAACAGAAGGGGTACCCAAACTTGTTTGACAGTTATTCGTGTGTTGTAGACTGTCGAATGGGACTCATGTGTGTACGTAGGGTACGCATATCTATTGCAAGTTTTAGTACTCATACACTTTCTCTTTTTGTGTTTTGTTTGTTTGTTAGTTGTATAACGCCACACTTAGCAATATTTCAGCTGTATGACGGCGGTCTGTAAATAATCGAGTCTGGACCAGACAATCCAGTGATTGACATCATGTGCATCGATCCACCAATTGGGATACGATGACGTGCATCAACCAAGTCAGCGAGCCTGACCACCCGATCCCGGTAGTCGCTTCTTACGACAAGCGCTGTCGCCCTTTTACGCCAAGAATGGTTTGTTGAAGATCTTCACGGGTCTATTGAATGCAGGGATTTGTGTAAAGTCATTCAGACAGCA